ACCTAAATCACCTTACTTTAGTTTCTTTTATTGAAGGGTAGTTATTTCTAACTTTTTAACCTTACCATACATAGTAAATGAATCTTTTATATATAAGCTGTAGAATTTGCCCATAGCCTTACAAATGGTTAATGAATAAACTCCTCTGAGTGGTCATACCTACCTTCTGATTGTTATTTAAGAAAGAATTTAAGAGAGAGAATGGTAGGGATGGAGAGGAGAGAGAGAGAGAGAGAGAGAGAGAGAGAGAGAGAGAGAGAGAGAGAGAGAGAGAGAGAAAGAATGTTGGCCATTGATGAATCTGGGTACAGGGTTTGTGGGTAGAGTTTATTTTACTACTTGCACAACTTTTCTGTGAGTTAAATTTCTTTTTAAACAAGATATTTGGATATAAAACATGGATAAATAACTGGTTCTTGACTGTCACATGTAATTAGTGGGTTAGCAATATGTGGGCTAAAACATGACCCATCTAAAGTCAGACTCTTGGAAATAGCCTCACAGACTATACATTTTGGTTCTGCACTCTTGTTTAAACTCTGTTCCTATGAATTTACAAACGGGGATGCCATCACCCAATAATTCTACTAGTGGCACTTATAGTGCTTATAAATTTCCAAGTTATAAGAAGCCCCAATTGTGGTTTGGTGAGCTTTAATCATATACATATTTATTGAATGAATGAATGAAAATAATTATATTCTAAAAAAATATCTTATGAATGCCTTATTCATGTGGGTTTCTAGCTGTGAGTAAAAGGACACTTTTTGTGCCTCACCATTTATCCTCTGGTCTCACCTTCATGCACCAGCCATTGCTACAGCAACCACCTCTGTGTAGGTATGACCTGGTGGTACCTTGCCTCAGCTACAATACCTTTCTTTCTCTTTCTGCCCTGGGGTGTCTCTGCCACCACTCCACTTCTTGGGACAAGTATGAGGGAACTTACAATCCCATAGGCAGCACATGTCCATGGAGAACTGGAGCCCGGGGATAATCTATTCTTTCACCCCTTAGTGGGAAGATCTGAAGCACATTTCACAGGACTCTTCAGAGGGCTTTGAGGAAAATAGAGACCTACTTACCTATGTGGATGACCAGTTCAATACAGCACATTTGAATTGGCTTTCACTCTTCCCCTGCTTAATTTTTCCAGTCCTTCAGTCATGCTTCCTGGGACTGACATGCATGTCTTTTCATCAGGCTTTGAATTTTGGTAGAATCTGGACCAAGACAGTGGCATCTCTCTAGTTATGGTTGGAAAATGAGAATTGTTGTTGTTACAATAACCACTCTATAAGAGTTTATGTGGTGTCTAGAAAAAGCATTAGGCGAAGAGTCAGCAGAACCTTTCTTCTTGTTATTTGGCCTCCAGCAGGTCATTTAGCCTTTAGGTAAATGGTAAGCTATAGGGATGAGGAGTTAAGGAAAAGATACATTACTATGTGTGTGTAGGATTCTGTTAGCTGGTTATAAGACTGTGGCCTCTGGTATCTAGTATAAAGTATTGGGAGTAGCTATGTTATAGTCCCTGAATCTAGAGGTGCTGTGAGATTAGATGAGCATTCCAGAGAAGGGCTGTTTGTGGGACTTGGGAGGACATCTGTTATTTGAACTGAGACCTAAAATAGAGACTGAATATTGATAAGAAGGCCTCTTCTTATCCATAATGGGAATCGAAATAAATGTAGGAGCAAAGCACTTCTCAGAAGGTCAGGTAAGGCAACAAGAGGTTATTGGTACAAAATCTCACAGCATTAGGCTGGACTTATTAAATTGCATTAACCTAATGTGAGCAACTAAAAATGGGGAGTAGTTTCAACTCAGAGGAATGGTAGAATAAAGAGGCTGAATACCAATTGTGTGCATAGGCTAGTTGCACACTATAATTACTTGTTCCATTGTATTGATCAGGGTAATTCTGTGATTTTGAGTCTCTGTGGTTAGATATCCCAGTGACTTGGGACATGGGTAGTTGATGTACTTTCTGCTACAGCACAGATGTTGTAGACCTTATTAAAGGCTGTTTCTTTACTGATTCCCCCAGGGAACATTTAATGAATGATGCATCCCTTAAGGAGAAGAATAATTAACAATAGCATTATTATTCATATTAATTTACAGTTACTGGTTGCTGTAATTAATGCTAGTTATGAAAATTATAATTATAGCACTTATTAATTTACAAAGTATTTTCTCATCCAATTTTTATCTGAATATTTTAATATCCCTCTGTCTTAGGTATGTCAGGTGATACTCTCCTTGTTTTATGGATGAGGAAACTAGGGCTCAGGAAAGAATTTAACCAAGCTGCAATCCACTGCCCTTACCAATGTATTGTGCTATCTATGAGTATATGGAAATACACTTATCATTTTTTTACTTATCGTAACGGTTTTTGTTTACATGTAAGAGAACAGCTTCACACATTTCTCAGTTGTCTTCCTTAACAATAATATCCTACCTTTTCTTTTTGTACCAGGACCCAGTGTCAGAATATTCACAAGAATGTGTAAAAGATTTTCTTCTTAATAATACCACAGTATTTCATAGTTATTAATACTCAGTGGGATAACGATGAAATTGCTTCTGATAGAGGGATTAGCACTTTCAAAACAACCCTCTGGCTTTATAGTGTTAGGTCAAACCCAGAATCTAGGCTCCGAGAAAACATCGTCAACCTGGTATTTCACTTATTTATTTACCTTTTCTTGTTCTTTTTTTTTTTCATTTTTGACTGTGGAAGAGAGCTGAGGAAAATCTCCAATTTTTCTCAAAGGCAACCTTCATATCTGAGCCATATAGTGTGAAATGCACAGACATACACACAGATATGCACACACATGCACATTTAGCCATTTGGTTATTTTTTTTATAATATAATATAATATAATATAATATAATATAATATAATATAATAATATAATATAATATAATATAATATATACTCTCTATACTAGAGCATCCACTGCTTTCATTGTACCTTTAGCTGTTTTTACCCCCCAAAAAATATTGATATGGAAAGGATTACTGACTGGACCACTATGCCAGCATCTGTCATTACCTATTTATTTATTTACTTAAACATCTTTATTGAACATTTCCGTGGATTAGGCCCTCAGCAAGATTCTGAGGAATCATGAAGGAGCAGAACAAGTGAAGTCCTTTCTGCCATGAAGCTTACATTCTCCTAGGGCCGTGGTCGACAAACTGCGGCTCACGAGCCACATGCGGTTCTTTGGCTCCTTGAGTGTGGCTCTTCCACAAAATACCACAAAATACCACATGCAGGTGCGCATGTACAGTGCGATTGAAACTTCGTGGCCCATGCACAGAAGCCAGTATTTTGTGGAAGAGCCACACTCAAGGGGCCAAAGAGCCGCATGTAGTTTGCGAGCCGCAGTTTGCCGACCACTGTCCTGGGGGAAACTGATGATAGACAATTGTACATAAAAGGTAATGTTAGATCATGGTAGATACTATGAGAAAAATAAAACAGGTGAGGGGTAAGAGTGCCATAGAGAAGTCAAGCAGATACATCCAGAAGGAGTAAGTGTAGAGAAACTTGCTTTCAATAATGTGATAAAACATAGCCATAGTTGAAGAGGGCTCGGAGAGAGAGATGCCAGCTGCCCCTGGGGCAGGCAGCAGTCATCAGGTTTGGTTCCAAGGGGTCTGGGCCACAGCTTCATAGACTTTGGTGTTGTCAGTATGCCTGGGTTAGATCAAGTCCACAGGGATTAACTCATGCTGCCTAAATTCACAACAGACTAATGTATCAGATCCCCTAAGGGCTGTCTAATGCAGATACTTAAATAAGTTTTAGCACTCAAGGAGGATGGTTTGGTGAGCAAGCTACCAGAAGGAAAGAAACTAGTTGTGTTCATAGACAATTCTATTATGCTATCATTGCCCAATGCAGCATATTTACTATAAAGGTCAACTTACTTGGAGGACTGTAAGGTTTAATGCTAGCTTATGAGGGTATCCTATATCTTGTTGTTGCTGAGGATATTCTGGTTTCTTGGCTAATGCTTTTTCTATGCCTTTTCAGACACTATCCTGATATTTAACTGCCTTAGACAAGTTTGATAGAGTTGATTAGTTTACAATAACTTCCTAATTTATTTCTATTGGGTCTTGCTGCTGATGCATTTTGTTTTTTTGATGGAGCCTTAAGGATGCTCCCAGAAAATCCATGATCATAATTACCTTGTGAAAGAGCCACCTCACTTCATATTTTCAAATTCTAAAGCCAGCTCACTTTCTATATTTTTTCCTTAAGCTCTAAGCAAACTACCTGCCAGAACCTTCCCACAATGCCTGGGGCTGCCCTTGTGGCAGTTTTATTGTCTTCTACTCACCTCTTATTGATTCTGAGTGCAGGTAGAAGTTGGAACTTCTGTTAACACAGGACATTGACATATGAAATCCATAAAGCTCCTACTTCAGATCAGTGGCCACTGCCACATGCATCCTCTGCAGCCCCTTGGCCAGAACCCTGAACAGTCTCATGCTAGTTCATTTTTTAGACTCATTGATTGGGGCTTGCCATCTCTGTCTGTCACACAGACATGGATCCCCTGCTGATTCCTCTTCCTGGACTGTAAGTCTCCCACCCTTGCCCTTCTTGTTCCAACTAAAATGTCATCATTCTAAGCAGTGGTTTCTGAACACAAAGAACTTGCATTATCTTCCTAGTTGGATACGCTTCTTGAGTACAGGATGGAGACATTTACTTATTTTTACTTTTATACTCATCAAAAAATAAGTGTGCGACCTTAGAAAAATAACCTTACACCTCTCAGTGTTCTTATTTGTCAAAAAGGGATCATTCTACTTCAGGCCACCACTGAAATGTTATAAGGGTTGGGGGCACAGGAGTAGATTCAGAACATTTTGGACAAAGCTACACTATAACTTGGAAAATTTGAATTCAGTCAGATATCAATGGAAACTGGAAATTTCCTTTTTGAACATGTCTGTGTTGCTTCTGGCAGGGAAATCCGGGAGGCAAGACCATTGAGGAGAGACGCTCCAGCCTGGATGCTGAGATTGACTCACTGACTAGCATCTTGGCTGACCTTGAGTGCAGCTCCCCCTACAAACCTCGGCCCCCACAGGTAAGAGCTGTCCGGGAATGTCTCCATATGACCAGTTACAAATGGTCTATGACTCTATGATGATCTGAAAATACAAGCTGCTGTTCATAGCCCTTCCTTTTTTTTTTTTTTTTAATCTTCTCACAGTCAATGGTCTAAGACTAAGTCGTCTTTTTATTTAATATCAACATATGTTTTCTAACAGGCATAATCCTTAAAATTTAATTTAATTAGTATTGTCTTTAAAATACAGCAAAATTATACAAAAAACTTCTGAAAATTAAAATTCTTCTTACTCTATTGTCCTTTTCATTTTCTGGCTTTGATATGTTGATATTTTGTACACACTGTTATAGTCTTAACAAATAGAATTTAGCACAATTATGTTAAAGTTAAAGTGAGGGCTACGTCTTCTATAAGGAAATTCCTTATGTTGTACGTGTAAGGTAGCTTCCATTTTTTGGTTGTTGTATGTAATGCTATGAAGGACACGTTCATGAGTATTTTCTTTAGAGTTACTTCCCTGTCTTAGATTCCTAATATTAGGATTTCTACATTAAGGAATCTGACCACTTTCTTTATTTATCTTTCCAAAAGTTGTGAATAGCTTGTGTTGGCAGTTAGAATATACCAGTTTCTCCTCACGTTCACCAGAATTTGGTGATAGCCATTAATCTCTATTTTTAGTGCTCCTTGTTATCAGTTTATTTATTTATTTGTTTGTTTGGGATTTTTGTTGTTGTTTTTTGTTAGCTTGGCTCTTTTTCTGCATAGTACTTTGCTATCTGCATTCAGAAACTGAACTTCCATTGCTAGTGATCATTCCTGTAAATCTCGGGTCTTGAGATGGTAGTGGGAAATCTATGTCAGGGCTTCGTTGTCCTCAGAAGACAGCCAATGGAACTCTAGACACACACACTGGACTGGCACAATTGTCATTGCATGTTTGACTTGTGAGATGCTTGCTTGACTAAGTGACAGTGCATATGGCATGCTGAGTTTACTTCAGTTCTTGAACAGCAGCTCCTATGTTCACAATGGTTCCTTTCATGAATTAAAATCTAGCCCTGCTTCTCAGCTGTCAGGGCTGCACATAAGGTGGCAGTGCTTTCTTCTTTAGATATATTCCCATTACCTTTCCTAGACATATAATGGGACTGTCAGCAAAACACACTAGAGTAGAACTTAGCTTTTCCTTTGCTATCATTACTCTTGGCCCCACCAGATCTGTTGGTAGTGGACATACACTTAATTTCTATAAACATCTTGAGATGCAGGTCTGTAGCATATACTGTGGTCTTTCAGGAAAACTGTTAGGAGAAGAAAAGTGGATTGTGGAATGAGAAATAAATAGGACCCCATTATCATTGCCCAGGGGCCCATAATAATAAACTATGGTGGATATTGTAGCAACATAAAGAAGAGAGTGATACATACTTTTGAAGGTGGCAGAATCTGAGAAGATTTATGAGAAGGCTTATGTGTTCAGATTGATGGGTGGGTAGACTAGTAATAATGGAGACAATAATGGAGAACAGCCTCAGCCATTGAGGAGAAAGGTCCAGGTTTCTAGGTGGTTAAGTACAAGGCCACTAAATGCTTAAAGTATCTACAGGATTGTGAAGTTTTCTACTGATAGCCTGGGGACAAGTTTGAATGCCAGATTAAGATTTTGCCTTGTCCATTGATCATCGACACTTGCTCGTGCGTCGATGAAGAACGCAGCTAGCTGCGAGAATTAATGTGAATTGCAAGATTTTGCCTTGTCTTTTTATACTTAATTAGAGGCCTGGTGCATGGATTCGTACAATGGTGGATTCCCTCAGCCTGGCCTGCGCCCTCTCGCAAACTGGGACCCCTGGGGGGGGGGGCGGAGTCAGACTGCTGGTTTCAGGCCGCTCCCACTCATTCCAGCCCCCCTGCGCCTGCTGCCTCTGCTGCTGCCACCACTGCTCAGTAGCACTGCCACAGAGACAGCAGAGGCTTGTGCGACAGCAGCTGCTCTCGCCAGCCATGAGCCCAGCGCGTGGTGCCCCTTGGTCATCTGAGCAATGCTCCTGCTGTGGGAGCTCACTGATCACCAAGGGGCAGCTCCTGCGTTGAGCATCTGTCCTCTGGTGGTCAGTGCGCATCATAGCAACTGGTTGAGTGGTCAACTGGTCATAATGATTGCTTAGGCTTTTATATAGATGGGGAATAGTGGAAGGTTCTCAATCAGGAAAAAGCCAGATTTCATTTCTATAACGGAACATAGAAAACAAGCTGTGTTCTGGAAAGATGCAGGAAGATGGGCCAGATCTGAGACATTCTCCAGCAAGCCTTTGATGGACCAGTGTTTGATGTTAAGCATTTTTCCTATTCCACATGCCTCAAGCTCAATTTCTCAGAACAGCAAGACCACTGAGTTTTCCACTGTAGTCACCTGTCCATTATCCCCTCCTTTTTAAAAATAGGGTTTTTGCTCAATTCCACCCTCCCCCCCCCCCAAATTCTTAATATATACTGTGGAGCTTCTACTTAATATAGCCTTCATTCCTTAAGGCTGTGTTAACATATACCTCCCATAAACCACTGCATTTTAATGGGTTATTTACAAGCTCCATTTTTGTTTGCGCAATCTTACTGTGCACACAGACTAATAATCACTGATATTTGGACAGTGCTTCACTGATTGTAAAGCATATATTCTCACTTGAGTAAGACTGAAACTCTGATATTAATGATATGCAGATCTGGAGTGGAGGAACCTAAGACTTAGAAGATAAGTGACCTGTCTTAGGACATAGGACTATAATGTGAGCACAGCTAGACTCTGAATTTACTCCTGTGTTTGGTTTTAAGTTCTAAAACCAGATTGGGGATGTCAGTATTTTAAAAACATTTTTATCAATGACAAAAATCTATGAAATAATCATATGAGTAACAATGTCCTTAGAGGCTTTCTTATAAAAAGAAAAACATTCAGAAGGTTTAGAAAAATTAATAATGATAATTCTTAAGTAGAATAAGTGGATAATTGAGGTAAAAATCTACTTTCGATGAGTCTATTTCATTCAGAAATTAAAGAGTGATCCCGTCTAACATTTTTATCATTCTACTTTAGGAAAGCAAGATTTAATTGGGAGTTACAACTCATTCTTCTGTGTTATCTTAACTCTGGTGGAACTGAATTAGATATGTTAGTATTTATTAGTTAACATAATTATATGCTGTGAGAGTGATAATCACACACCTAAAATATTAAAAATAGGTGCTAAAAGAAGATGATGTCTGTTGTCTTGTAATTAAAAGGTACTTGAAAAGTCCTAGAACTGTAGAATGTTAATGCCCAACTTTGATGTTTTTATTTTTGATCCAAAGCATATTATAAAACTCATTGAATCACCTGGCTACTTAAAGTAGGCTAGTAGGTCTATGATTTCTCATTATTTAAGCATGCGTTGTGTGTGTTCCTGAACCCACTTCTGAACTTCCTTATTAAGGCCACTTTGACTGCTCGATCTATGGAAAATCCTACTCTATCTAGAATGTACCAGTAGAGGTTCAAAAGAGCTCTATTCACATGACAATTTTGAGAAATGTCTGAGTACTTGAAGATAGATTTTATGGAAACTTTGGAAAAAGGAGCATTTTCTACTCTGAGATTTCCCAGCTTTAGTTCTGTTCACTTATTTATTCATAGTTTTACTTGGGAAATGTGGCTTAATTTCACATTTTCAGTCATTCACCTAACATTTATTGAGATCCCTTTATGGGGGATCCATGTCCTTGGTCTAGAGTAATTCATACTCTTAACAGAGGAAACAAGCACATAATCAATTCAAAAGCCACTACAGAAGGGCTTCAGTGTGCTACTTTAAGCTGTTATGTGACTCACCAGATGTTGAAATTGTTGTAAAATAAAAATAATAGGAATATTAGCGTTATACTGTGTACTGTTCTAGGGAAGTGTCCAGGAAGACTGCAGAGAGCCTTTGAGTTTATGAGTACAAAAGCCTATGTCATGGAAAAGGCTTGGGATTCAAGGTGCGAGACTAACAGTAATGAGAAAATCAAGGAATGTTGAAAGTGAATGTCTTGTTTGAAGGACATGTTAGTTCAAATGCTGTATCGGGTATGTGCAAAGGGAATAGGCAGATAAAATCACATGCACTTAGTACCTATGTAGCACTCTTGATGCCCAAGAACTCCCATACAAGAGGCGGGATTTAGCGGTGATAGTATTTCTGGCTACAGTGGGTTTGGGGGAAACAACTGTAGCAAATTTTAAAGGAAATATAAAAATATACACCTGCATCATTACACAGAGCTATGTAATTAAAATAGCTTAGTGTTTGAAACTAAAAGAGCTACCCATTTTAAAATGTGTACTTTTAGAAGAACTTTTATGCTTCTAAAAGAACTTTTAGAAGTACTTTTAGAAGAACAGATGTGAGAAGTTTGGAGGTGGTTGTGGGATGAGTTGTAGACTGAATATGATCATAGAGTGTGAAAGCTTAGATAGGCCTTTGAGGTCATGCAGCCAAATGTTTAGGGAAGAAAAGTTTTTGCTCAAAGAAAGAACGCACTACTCAATGAGGAACAAGAGTACTGCTTATTTCCCTTTTTTTCCTGAAACAAGACATACTGCTTCTCTGTGGATGATAGCAGCAACCAAGGCATAGAAGGGGTCTTTTTAGCATTTCAATTAGTTTATTCCAAAATGTTTCTCTTTTGTGGTACATTCTCTAAATTATGTCTTAGAATCATAATGAAAGAGTATAATAAATTTAAAAAACATAGATAATTCAAATCATAATTCAAAAGTATAAAGAAAATTTATGACAGTATGGTGTCTTTGAGTCACTGTATATCTAGACCCCATCCAGTGGCATCATCTGTTATTAGAAGTTCAGCTTAGATATTCTGGAAGAGTTACACAGGGATCAGATTGAAATTCTTTTGATTTCTTAGAAGACAGTAGATAAATCCATGCATTTATTTTTGTTTTTTCTTTTCTTGGCAGAGCCAGGGCTAGAGTT